CACTGTACTCCAGCCTGGGTGACACAGTGAGACTCTGTCTCAAAAAAAAAAAAAAAAGAAAGAAAAAGGAAAGAAAAGAATGAACGAATGAACGAATGAATTGGAGGTGAGTCCATAGAGTAAAGTGAAAGCAAGTTTGTTAGGAAAGTAAAGGAATAAAGAAGGTCCACTCCATAGACAGAACAGTCTCAAGGGCTGCTGGTTGCCCATTTTTGAGGTTGTTTCTTGATGATATGCTAAACAAGGGGTAGATTATTCATGCCTCTCCTTTTTAAACCATATTGGGTAACTTCCTGATGTTGCCATGGCATTTGTAAACTGTCACGGAGCTGGCAGGAGTGCAGCAGTGAGGATGGCCAGAGGTCACTCTCATCACCATCTTGATTGTGGTGGGATTTGGCTGCTTCTTTACTGCAAGCTGTTTTATAAGCAAGGTCTTTATGACCTGTATCTTGTGCCGACCTCCTATCTCATCCTGTGACTTAGAATGTCTAACTGTCTGGGAATGCAGCCTAGCAGGTCTCAGCCTTATTTTACAGAGCCTCTTTTCGAGATGCAGTTGCTCTGGTTCAAACGCCTCTGACACATATACTAATTCATTTAATCCTCATAACACCATGTGATAGGTCCTGGTCTTGTCCCCATTACACAGATAAAGACACTGAGGCACAGGCATATTAAGGAACCCCAAAAAGCAACCCTGACTAGGATCTGAACCCAGGAAGCATGTGGTCTTAACGTGGTAGCCACCCCTAACTGGAGCAACACACAGCTTCTCAGGAGACCTCGGCATTGCAGTGCTGAAAGGCATGTGGAGCACTGCAGCCTCCATTTGGCCACCTTCCCCCTGCCACGCATCATCCTAGGCCTGGGGAGGCCACAGTGAACAGAAGCAGAGCCCAGCGCTCTGGACGCTCAGGATTGGTGGTAGGGAGGTCCCACAGCAGCAAAGAATCCCTCCAGAGAGGGCTGGGGGTGCTGGGAAGAAGAGAAATGGGTGAAGGGCGTGGAGGGGGATGGAGGGCTGTCCATTTTGGATGGGTAAGCCCCACACCCACACCCATGCCCCACCAGAGGCAACATCTGAGCAGAGAGATCTGACTCACCCGAAGGTGTGGCCACAAAAATGGGCAACCAGCAGCCCTTGGGACTGTTCTGCTGCACAGTCAGGCGCATGGCAGGCGTGAGAGCATGCAAGGTCGGTCCTGTTTCCAAATCAGGACCCCTAGGGGCCACCTGCCCATCATCTCAGGTTTGCTTTACATCTTTCCTGCATCACAGGACCAGCCAACCTCAGGAACCACTTTATTCTTGGTCTGTTTTTAAAGCCTATGCAAAACTTCCAATGTAATTCCGTATCAAGTTGTAATTCCATATCAAGATGCTGGGGGACAGCATCCCCAGCCAGCGGAAGCAGCACATGCCAACCCTGGACATCACGAACCAGGTGCTTCGGGAGCAGAGGGACCGGGTGCGTGGGGAGGGAGGAGGCAAAGCCCCTTTCCACTGCCCCAGAGAAGAAAACTTTTTCCATTTGAAATATTTTTGAAACAAAAAATGAAAACATCAGCCATAACCTCACCACTTTTGCAATTATATTAAGAAGTGAAAAGTCCCCCTTCTGTCCTTTTGCCCCAGCCATGTTTGGGAAATTAACAGGCAGGGAGGGCCTATCAAAGTGCCAAAAGCCATTTGCAGCTGACTGAATGCCCGAGGTCTCTGTCTCCATCCCTCTCTGGAATGCAGAGACTGCCCTTTTCTCAGCAGCTCCCAGCTCGCCAGTCTCTGGCAGCAGTCTCTGCTACGGCCTGAGAACACTGATAGCCACGGAGGTTAAACCAGCATGGAAACTAAGACCGATGAAGGGGATGGGAGCTCTTCATCCTGACCTCAAGACGTGGGCTTGAATACCTGGTCCTCAAGTCCTGTATGTGGATCTTGGGGATTTTTGTCTTCATTTTGGTTTTCATGGCTACTTTCTGGATGGTTGGAATTTTTTGACAACTGACTTCCAGATGCACAGTGTGGGGGACAGTGACAAATAGGCCCAACGAGGAAACAAATGCAGCTGCCCAAGCCAGGAGGGGCCCAAATCACAGAACTTCACAAGGGCTCAGGATGACACCTGAGCTCCCCTGCAAGGGATCTGCTGCCTAAATTCACAGGCAAGAGCCCCAACAACCACCTTTCAGGAGGAGGTGAAAATGAGTTAACATGATCATGAAAAGAAAAGTTAGTTCTGAGGGTTATTATCAGCATGCCACGGACCAGATTCCAACCACAAAGGTAAATAAGAATACAAAAAAAAAAAAAAATGAAGTGATCCAGCCAGCAAAAGCTGCCTTCGGGCAGCAGAAACGTTCATATTTTAGGTAGTTTCTTCAAGGAGCAGAACTGATTATGGACCATCCCTCTAACAGAAGTGTGAGGTCTCTCTCTTTACATTCTCATGTTTCCTTCCTGCCCTCCCCCTTCTCTCTCTCTCTGTGTCTCTCTCTCTCTCCCCACACACACCCCCACTAAATAAATCCTTATCCTACACTACTTGGTGTCTCTTCTCTTTCGCTAAACTCTTTCCAACCTCACTCATTTATCCTGAAAAAACTGTCTTGATTCTTTATTCTGACTCTTATTACATTATTATTATTATTATTTGAGACAGGGTCTCACTCTGTTGCCCAGACTGACGTGCAGTGGCTCAGTCACGGCTCACTGCAAAACCTCTGCCTCCCAGCTCAAGCTATCCTCCCGCGTTAGCCTCCTGACTAGCTAGAACCACAGGCGCACCACCAACATGTCCGGCTAATTTTTAAAATTTTTTATAGAGACAAGGTCTCACTATACTGCCCAGGCTGTTCTCGAACTCCTGGGCTCAAGCAGTCCTCCCACCTCAGCCCCTCAAAGTGCTGAGATTACAGGTGTAAGCCACTGTGCCTTGCCTAATTATTACATCATTTTTGAACCATAAATCCCCCAGTAGAATACTGTTGAATGTGTAAGAGGAACCCAGACATCATTTTAAAGTGGCATCATAGCAACCCGTGCTGCACAGTCAGGCACATGGTAGGCATGAGAACATGCAAGGTCAGTCCTGTATCCAAATCAGGACCCCTGGGGGCCACCTGCCCATCATCTCAGGTTTGCTTTTCATCTTTCCTGCATCATGGGACCAGCCACCCTCAGGAACCACTTTATTCTTGGTCTGTTTTTAAAGCCCATGCAAAACTTCCAATGTAATTCCACATCAAGTTGTAACAAGACTATTTCACACCCTTGGTACTCAAAGTGTGGTCTGCAACCAGCACCACCGAGATTCCCCGAGAGCTGGCTGGAAATGCAGAATCCCAGGCTCTACCCTAGTTCTGCTGAATCAGAACCTGCACTTTCCAAAAACCCCCAGGGCACCCAAGTGCAAGTCGCAGCGCAAGAGAGGCATTGCCTTACACCGAAGTTTATTTACGCATTTGCACAAGAGTGTTTTGAATCTCCAGTTTGCACCTGCTTTGTCCTCTGTAGACAAGTCTCTTCCTACCCACCCCCACGTCCCTTCCCCAGGCTGCCTCCACCAGAGCCCTTCCAGCCCCTCCTGCTGGGTCAGATGCCCCCACTGATGTCCCACAGCGCCCAACTCTTAGCCACCTAACCGTAATTTTCTGTTTATCAGCCTCACCACTGGACTGTAAGCTCCCGGAAGTCAGGGACTGTGTTCTATCTGCAGTTGTGTCTCAAGTGCCCAGCACATAACAAGGACTCATCAAATATGTGTGTGATTGAATTAAAATGGCCAAGTGGAATTATAAGCACCTGGTACCCATTCCTGCTCGTTCACAATCTTGCCCAGCCCTGTTATGCCCAGCCTGGTCCTCAACCTCTTTGCTCTTGTCTGCTCACAGCTGGGGTGGCATTTGACCCTCTTGGCAGAGCCATCCTGGCTGCTTCTCCCAGGACTTGGGCTCCATTCAGCCCAGGCCTCTGGACTGTCAGCATTGGTGTCTGGGCTACTCATCAGATTGACCTTGGGCACTAGCTATGACCTTGGTTTCCTGGGCTTCCTTCTACCTTGTTCCCGAGCCTTTTTCTCCACTTCATGCTCCAATTAATGGTGACTTTAGTTTCTTTATTACTTGTTATAGCTAGTCCCCTTGTCTGGGGCTCTGCTTTCTGCTTCTTACCTAGTTCATGGGCTCCCCACTCACATGGAAGTGTAGCTGTTCCCTGATGTACTAAAGCCTACCTCTGCTATCAGAGCTTCTGCACTGAGCAGCTGCCAGCACAGACATTCAACCTTCCCCTGTTCCTAAATTCCTCTTAGCTTTGCTCGGTCTTGACTTCCCCATGCTGGACTGGGCTTTGACCTGTAGTGACCTTCCATGCAGAGACTCTGGCCCCCTAACCTGGATTTCCCCTGCCCCCTGCCATTGCAGCTGTGTCTGTGTTCCCCTCTCCTAAACCCCAAACTACATCCCAGACTTATTGCTCAACAAATGTTTTTTGATGGATATAAAAATGGATGGATGGATGGATGGATGGATGGATGGATGGATGGATGGATGGGTGGATGGGTAGGTTGGTAACTGGGTAAGTGGATGGATGAATGGGTGGATGGGTGGACAAATAACAGATGGATAGTTAAAGAAGTAAAGGAGGAGTAAGGAATGGATAGACAAGTGAATCAATATATGAATAAATGAATGAACAGATGAAGTGATGGATAAATAGACAGATGCTTGATTGATTGAGTCAATCGGTTGAACCATTCCAATCCTAAAAGTCCAACACACTGTAGCAGAGATTACTGGATCAACACTGGAACCTACAGTGACATCTAGAAAGCTGACCATGCCAAGAACCATGGTCTACAGAGAAGTATGAAAGCAAAACCCCTGCCCACATGGCACTTACAGTCTAGAGTACTTGGCCCCAGTCTGCTTGGGAACTTGATGGACAGGCAAGAGCCAAACTGGGCCAACCCTTGTTCATATCCTTTTCTTCCCTCACAGGTCAAGTTTACTGCTAGGATGCCTCACTGTTTAATCTGGGAACTGCTGGGTCTATCTATGGTGATGAACTCTGCTCAAGAAGCATAACTGAGATTCACTGACTGATAGAAAAGACATCTATACCTGGAAATTCGCAACAGCTTCGCACACTGTTCTAATGTTAAAGTGCTGTCTCCCCACTGCACCAAGAGCTCCTTGGAGCAGAAATGGCTTTCTTCTCTATTTACTATTGATAAAAGAAATGTAACCGAAATTACTCTGTACCTCAATAGATTCAACAAATATTTATTAGTCATAAAGTGGCAGACACAGAAACGCTCACCACATATTCCCTTTGCTCCCTTAGGCTTCCCGGGCCCCAAGCTGCTAGACAGGGAGTGTGTGGCTAGATCTGGTTGATAAAATGGGAGAAGAGTTGACGGGGGTCTCTTTCAGAAGGAGGCAATAAAAAGGTCACGTGTGATTCTCCAGCCAGCCTCTGTCCTCTCGGCTGTATCAGCTGAGGGGGCTGTGAGCTCCTGATGGTGAAGGAGAGCCCCCTCCACTGCCTCCCACCCTCTCCAGCCCACTATTATCACATGCAGCTTGTGTAGTCCACGAACTCCTGCTGTGTTAACCTTTGAGATTCACTCCCGCAGCATCCCTCAGCCTAACCTAACTCACACAAATAAGAATAGCGGCAATGATCACATTTCCTAACTCCTTGCTTTATTCTGAATCCTTTTTTTTTTCCTTTGAGATGGAGTCTCACTCTGTCGCCCAGGCTGGAGAGCAATGGCATGATCTTGGTCCACTGCAACCTCCACCTCTTGGGTTCAAGCGACTCTCCTGCCTCAGCCTCCCGAGTAGCTGGGATTACTGGCACGTGCCACTACGTCTGGCTACTTTTTGTATTTTTAGTAGAGACTGGGTTTCCCCATGTTGGCCAGGCTGGTCTCGAACTCCTAATCTCAAGTGATCTACCTGCCTAGGGCTCCCAAAGTACTGGGATTACAGGCGTGAGCCACTGCTCTGAATCCTAATCACGGATTGTCCTACTTTGTTGAGTGAATGGACCTGTTCACCAATCAGCTTTTATTTATTTGGAAGGGCTCAACTCTGTCTCCATGAAGGAAAAAATTGTAAAGTACTTAAAATCTGTCTTTGGTGGTCTTCTTCCTGTCCCCCTTCTTTCTACCTCAAACCCCCTGAGGGGTACCTGACCGACTTTCTTGTTCTCAAGCAATCTGCTCTACAGTGTGAAGGAACCGACCGGTAAGCAAACTCCCTCAGGGATATTTGCATGAGGGAATTTACATAAAGATCAGCTCTTCTCCATTCTCTACTGAGAGACAACCGAGCACCTCATCCCTGCCCCCTGCCCCCTGCCCCGCTAAATGAGAAGACAGAGCATCGCTCGGCTTCCCGCAGCCCCTCATGGCTGGCAGTGCAAGATCTTCTTTTCCATTAGGGTTGAGACAGAAGATAGAAGACAAGAGGGCTAAAGCCTGGGCTCCAACATCAGCCCACCCTACCACTCACTGGAAAGGCCTCAGTTTCTTTTTCTGAAAAATGGGGAGGCGTTCACTGTACCTACCTATCTTCGTTTCCTGTGGCTGTTGTTACAAATTACAAAATTTACTGGCTTACAACAGAAATGTATTCTCTCACAGTTCTAGAAGTCAGAAGGCTGAAAGCAATTCTGCTGGGCCAAAATGCAGGCGTCAGTGACGCCATGCTTCCTGCGGAGGCTCTAGGAGGGAATCCACTTTCTTGCCCCTCCAGTTTCTGCTGGCTGCCGGCCTCACTTGGCTCACAGCTTTGTCACTCCAATCTCCACCACTGTGGCTACATCACCTCTTACTCTCTTCTCTGTGTAAGAATCTCCCTCCTCCCTCCCTTTTTTTTTTTTTTTGAGACAGGGTCTTGCTCTGTTGCCCAGGCTGCAGTACAGTGATACAATCACAGCCCACTGTAGCCTCAATCTCCTGGGCTCAGGTAATCCTCCCACCTTGGCCTCCCAGGTAGATGGGACTACAGGGGTGTGCCACCACACCCAGGTAATTTTTTGTAGAGACAGAGTCTCACTATGTTACCCACTTGAGATTGCATTTAGAGCCTACCTAGATAATCCACGAGAATCTCCCCATGTCAAAATCCTAAATTTAACCACATCTGCAAAGACTTTTTTTTTTTCCTGCCACCTAAGGTCATATTCACAGGGTCCAAGGATCAGGACATGGGAATCTTAGAGGAGACATTAGGTCATTAGTCAGTCTACCACACTACCCCATCGAGGCAGATACAAGTGCCTAATAAACATTAGCTGTCTTAACAATTATTCAACATTGTACCACAGGACCTCACGAGCATAAGAAAAACAAAATTGTTGTTGCTGTCACTGTTGTTGCTTAGTTTATGAGCCTAGAAAGCAGAACGGTCACTCCCTCAGACATTTGCTTGGAAACAGATGTGTCTGCTGTCTGTCTGAGGCCTCCACTTTTTTGTAGCCACAGACCCAGCAACCACTTTCCTGAAAAGGGTTAGTCCACACGACTCACCAAGAAGCCGAGCTCAGAGGAACTGTGGATCCAGCGTCCGTGCACAGACAAGGCAGAAGGCAGCCAGTCGGCAGGGTATTATTAAAAGTCAAGAGAAGTTGAGCCAGTTAACGTGAAGGAGGAGGAGCGGAGCCCACTCTCCAGCTGCTGCTGGGCGCCCAGAGACACAGAATCCCATGCCAAGAACCGGGAGCCTTCCCAGGACGAGGCGCTTGAGTTGCAGATTAATATGTCATCTGGTTTCTGCCCTGAGTATGACCTAAGGGGGAAAAAAAACTCACTTTGAGAGATGTAAGTGGGGACAGAGAAGAGAATGCGGAAAAGGCTCTGGCTGTGACAACTGCATGTGTTTGTCACTGTATTTTTTGGTCATTTTAGAGCAACCTTACTAACCCCTCAGAGGCTACAAGAAATTAACTTTCTTTTCCGATTCAAATGAATCCCAATGACAGGTGTATCATTGGGGGATTTTCACAGGGACTGGATATTAAAGATGATATTACATTTCTTTTGTGTGACAATACCATTGGGATTGTGGAGAAAGCTTTTATTCTTAGCAGACACTGCTAAGGCCTATATGTGGTCTATCTACATGCCTGCCATTTACCTTCAAGTGAGTCAGCAAATTTTTTTAATGTATTTATTTATTTTTTTTAGAGACAGGGTTTCGCTCTATCCCCAGGTTGGAGTGCAGTGGCATGATCATGGCTCACTACAGCCTTGACCCCTTGACCTCCTGGGCTCATCCTGCCTTGTTATCATCCTGCTTTGGCCTCCGGAATAGCTGAAACCACAGATGTGAGCCATCACGCCTGGCTATTAAAAAAAGAAAAAATTTATAGAGACAGAGTCTCAATATGTTGCCCAGGCTGGGCTTGAACTCCTGAGCTCAAGCAATTTGCCAGCTTCAGCCTCCCAAAGTACTGGGATTACAGGCAGGCGTGAGCCACCGTGCCTGCCCCAACAAATATTTCAGCATAGATACTAAAAGCAAATATGGTGAAATGGTAACAGCTGTCAAACGCGGGTAGTGAGTAAATCTTTCATCATCATTCTTCTCTCCAATTTGGAAAAGTTTTCAAAATAAAAAGTGGTGGGGTCGGGAGAAAAGACAGATGGTTAGAGGAAGCAAAGAGTTCTACTCACCACGTCCCCAAGACTGAACTTGACCTTAGTGGAGAGGTGGGGACCCGCTGAGGTTGGGAGGAAAGCTTCAGGGACCAGAGGTTTATGGCAGCAAAGATATAAAACCTGGGCCTCGAGGCAGGGGGCCCAAGAGAGAGAATGGGACAGGGAGAGAAAGCCACGACTAAGGTGCCTTCTCAGCACTGAGGTGTTAACAGAACCAAAGCCAGGACGCCCCCGGGACAATGACAGACTGGGTGTTCGGAGGCAGTACCTGTAGAGGAAGCACCGCAAAGCCAGCGGCCGCCGAGGCACAGGTTAAAGGCTGACCAGTCACAGCGCAGGGAGCAGGGGTGGGGTCCCGAGACTTGGGGTCTCCAATGCAGCTGTTTCTGGGGAGAATTAGGCGGCCTGGGTTTTTGAAGGCGAGAGCCCAGCAAGGCCCATAGAATCCTGGTCTTTTAGGCCAGAGGACAAGCAGCCTGACGCTCCGCTTCCAGTCCACTCGCGGCTATTAATCTGAACCAATCATGTGATCCCATTCTTTGCATGTGATTGGTTCAGGAATGGGCATGTGACCCAGTCCTGACCAATGAAATGTGAGACAAAGTTGCCGGGTTTGCGTGGGGCGGGGGGGCTTCTGGGACGTTTCTTCCCTCAGAGGGATGCCCGGGAGAGGTGGTCTCTCTTCTTCCTCCAGGTTCTGTTGCCCAAATGTAACCCCTAGAGCTGCTGCCACCACCTTGTGGCCAGATTAAGGACAAGGCTAACGTCAAGGATGGCAGAGCAGAGAGACGGCAAGAACCTGGGTCCTGGAGGACGTCTCTGAGCCGTGGAGTCGGCAACTGGGAAGCCTGGCCAAACTTCCTGTTGTGTGAAATGATAAACGCCCTCATCCTGGAAGTCTGTTTGGTCCTGTTTTTGTCTCCGGCACAGGAGACAGAAGCTGAACCCCACGCGTTGCCTATGCCTGACTTAGGAAGGGGGGCCCTTCCTCCAGGACGACACCCATGTCTGGAAGAGCAACACAGCTGGCTTCCAGCTCAACTTGATCCCCACACCAGGAACCCCTTCTGGTGAATATCCCACATGGCCACGTCACACAGGGCATCTGGCGAAACCCCCGGGTCGCACCTGCCAGGCTGGCGCATCTACAGAGAGAAAGAGAGCTCAGTCCCTCCGTTTCTGGATGACTCTGGCCTTTGAGAAGCTCGGGGAGGTGCCAAGCGGTGGGTGTAGCCCCCACCCTCCACCTCAATCAGCCCCCTCCGTGTACTTCACAAAATACAATTCACGTTTCCTTGATTTTTACTCAAAGTGCAATTTAAATGCAACTTCAAACCACACCCTCTTTTTTTCCCACCGGAATGATCCCTGAGCAACCCTTGATGGAAATCCTAAAGACGCGGCTGCAGCG